GCTTTTCCATGATTTAATAAAATTAAAATTAAAACCATTTGTAATGAGGGCTACACTACTCTGTAATGAACTGAAACTACTTGTGTGTTGTGTAACCGACTTTTAATTAACAAAAAATATTTAAATTAAAAAACTAAAATTTTGTCAAAATGCATTAGATATACATATTCATAAAAAGTTGTTCAACTAGAAAATTAATGATAAATATTTTAGCATTTTATTGACTTTGGTTATGAGTGCATTTAATTAAACTCAAATATGAATTATTTGAATAATAATTACCTGCTAACGAAAGTACTACATTGAAATTGTTTAAATTTTTGAAATGCAAATATTGTTTTATGTTATTTATATATATATATATATAATATGTAAATTTATGAGTAAGTAAAATGCCTAGACATATAAATGCAAAATACTTTATTAATTGTTTTTTAGTTACTTATAACTCCACAATTTTAATTTCACAAATTTTATATAATTAAATATGATAGAAGTATTAACAATAATTCATATTATAACTTTGACAAGTATATTTTAATTATCAATTTATTAATAATAAATTTTTTCTACTCCTCAATAATATTATGTTTTGTACACGATTTACTCAAATCGTTAACACACTTTCCCTTTGGTGGCAATCCGGCACATTTATCGTGGATAATCCTATTTGCACAACCTCCTATTCCGGCAGCAGCTTGTTGATGTATCTATTTATTAAGTGGTGTGGGGTATGGGATGTATATTAGTATTTATTCATAAAATCACAGACATTGGTAATGAATGTCTTACTTGTATGCCGTCGAGTACAGAATGGTTGCCCTCATTATCCTCAATGGTATAGTTCTCTCCCTTGACATCAATCCAGGAATCGGCGAAATGCTCGCCGGACATACCGGTGCCGTCAAATACATTATTCTTAATTATACCACAACAACTGCCCTCTTTGATGTCGATGCTCTCAGCGCCAACATTTGGACCTATTTTGTTGTTTAGCACTTGATTTCTATCGCTTTTATCCGGTTTGTTGTCTACCCAGTGACCCACCTGTTCAGTGGACAGGGATGTAGTTTTAAAAACTTCTTTAAATACTAGTACAAACCGCTGACCCCATGTAAACGCCTTCACCAAAACCTGGACGTGCCGTACCAGTCGTATGTATATATGATTTCCTGAGTATATTATCGGAGCTATGCGTCCGGAAATGGATGCCCTCGTCCTTAATGTGGTGAACCTCCAGGTCCTCTAATATGTTATGGTTAGCCCCGTCTAACATAATACCTTTTAAACTGTCACTAACGGTAAACCCTTTGAGTACCCAATAGTTTGCCTGAAGCCAAAAGCCATAGCTATCTCCAGAGAGGACAGCCTTCCGACTTCCCGTCAAAGTGATGGGTTTTTCGGCCGTACCATTGGTTTTGGCGGTGAATTTGTTGTGGTATTTGCCGTTCGCTAACTCTATGGTATCGCCGGCCGACACGTCGGACAGCGCCGACACTAACTCTTTATCCGTTGAGACTTTGATTGTCTTACAACTGATGGACACAATGAGGAATAAGATTATTATTAGTTTTAGCATTTTTTGTGAGTTTGTTCAGTACTTTTTGTAATGAGTGAGAAATGAAATATTTTTACCATTTATTTTATGTTTTATCTGATGATTATATATTGTGTGACAATTCAATAACCAAATCACTGGATTGTGTTTGTGAAAACATCTGTTGTTTTAATTTTCTATATATTGATTAGTTTCACTATTTTTCAGTCTATTTTAAAATTACTGAACAAATAAATTATTATGTATTGTCAATGCTGTATTGAATATAATCAAAGTTAATTTGTTTAAGATTTATTATTTATAAAATGTATTGTTTTGTCAATAATTGTTTTGATATAATTAAAAACTCAAATTGTAATTTATAACTTTTAAATGTAGCTGACAATATCAATTATTAGACTTTAAACAGAATTTATCATTTGAAATGTTTTTCAATAACTTATTTTTTATATCAGATAAGCGGGTGGAAAGTATTTGAAATCATCGAAAATTTATCAATTACGAATTTGAACTTTGTTTAGTATAACAAGTATTATATTATCCAAATGCTTATATAATTATCAATATTTGTATATTAAAAAAATAAATGTTAAAATGTTTTATAAAAGGATATTAATCACATTAATTAAATAATTAAAATATTGGTTTAAAACTAATGAATGAGTATACTAGTTTCATATTAAATTTTCAGTTAAACTTGAATTTAATAATGAATTTACAAATGAGTTACAAACACGTGTGGATAACAGATAACACAAGTGAACATATTATTCAATTTATAAATAATTTAAGTCATTCATAAACTACTAGTCATACAGTTTACACAATGTTATCAGTATGTGTATCGATAACCGTGCTGCCATTGAGGGGAACGGCACTACCATTTCCCACATCCTCCTCCACCTTCTCTAATATCCTGGTCCTAATCCGTTTGAGTCTATGATAAGTCATCTTAATGTGGACATCAATACCTATAAACCGAGAGAACACTCCGACCCAGAAGTAAAACAAACTCCACACCCTATGTACAAAAAAGCCACCCGTCCTGTCCTCCTGTCCCACTGTCCTCAGAGCTTGCTTTACAAATATGTGAGGGGTGGGTGCGTAAAACCGGGGCTCCATATGATAGGTCATTCGCGTGGACACGTAGAACGGCATCACCGATTGTATGATAATACCGGAGCTCCGGTACTCCTCCTGCAACGCGCGCGACATGTAGTCCACGTATACTTTGGTGGCTGAGTATAGGGATAGGAGTGGGACGGGGTATAGGGCCGAGAATGAGGAGAGATTTATGATGACTCCCCGCCCCCTGCGCTCCATACGCGGCAATACCAGTGCCGTAAGTCTGGTACACGAGACTATGTTGACATTAATGAGGCTCATGATAACGTGATTCAAATTAGGTAACTTGGTCATATATTCAGGTCTCTCGTGTGGGTAATTAGTGCCCACATTGTTGACCAGCACATGGATCTCATCCAACCCGTTCAACTCGGACTCTATCGTGTCGTATGTTTCTTGTGATATGTCGTTGAAGTCGATTGCGAGTGTACGCACTTTGCGAGCGGCCCTCACCTGGTCCTGGATATCGCGTTTGACTTTTTGCAGTTTTTCGTGATTACGACTTATAAGCAATAGATTGTATCTATAGATAAGATTACATAACATAAAGATTATAGTAACAAAAGTTGTTAAAACTCTTAAAGTTTAAATCCTTACCCTTTAGCGGCCAGTTGGTTAGCGTAGGCCAGGCCTATACCCTCAGTACACCCGGTGATTACTGCCCAGGTATGAGGTCCACCACACCATTTAAATTGACTGGCTTTGTATTTGAGCCACAAGTATATTATAAGCCGGGCTATTATGAATAGTATTGTGCTTATAATTGATCCTATTCCTATTAATTCGCATAATAATCGTAAGTATTTCTCACTAATTAGAGTTTCCATGAATAGATGCAATTTTGTTCATTAAATCATAAAATAGCCTGTTAATAATAATAATAAAATTTGTGAAATAAATTAAATTTAAATGTTTATAAAACACATTTTAGTGGCATTGTTAATTATTTTATGCCGTTTATTTTATTATATTAGTCATTGTCAAGGAAAGTGCTTTAATTATTCATAAAATTATTTAGAAATCTTCCTTGTTTATTTATAATGATTATTATACTGCTATAATACTATTGTTTTTATTTATTGGTTATGAAATTTGCGTAGGTAATCCATGCAAATATTAGTTACATAGATACAATTAAATTCTGGAAATATTAAACTTAATGTACGGGAATATACCATTTTGTTGTACAATTATTAAACAATGTAAAGATTGACAAATTTTAAATATAATTTACCCAGTACAAAATATAGTTTTAAAAATTATTGATTTATAAATAAAATTATATAAAAATAAAAGTAAGTTAGTAGTTGGATATTCCACGTGGGAATTATATAATAAATTAAACAGATTAACCCTAATAGCCTTAATGAACTGGATAAAATTTAGTTTTTATTATATAATTAAAAATTAGAATCTTTATATAGTTAATAGATGTCTAAAATTCAATCATTTGTCAATTTGTATGATTTTAACTGTACACCAATGGATCAATCAACAAGCAGTAGTGAAACTTTACCGGCTGATTATCTGTATGATAAAAATAATAATGTTTACGATAAGTGAGTATTCATTTATTAAGTATGTTTTAATTATTAAAAGTTATTTATTACAGATCATTTAGCGGGACTATTCGCATGGCAAATGATTTGTTCACAGTATTGCTTAAAACAAATAAATTAGACCGGAATGTGGACCCTGATAATAAAAATCTATACGTTACGGAAATAAAAGCATGTAAATCATATATGGAGTCATTAGGCACTATGGATAAGGTATGTGGTTTAAATTGTTTTTCTTAATTATTAAGACGTGTATTAAATTATAAATTGTGTACTTTATTTGAACTGTAGTATGATATCGAAAAAGCCCACAAACGAGTGGATACTTTGGCAAAACTTTGCCAAAAGTACCGCAAAACAAGTCTAATGCTAACTGTTATGAGTTATGTTAAGACACCCAACTTTCAGCGATATAGTGATGGTAAGTTTATTAAATATTTTTAAAAATTAAATAATAACCAATTAAATATATGAATTTTATTTGATGTGAAAGTGGAGGCACACGCAGAATTGTGTTATGGCTATAGTTTACTATTAAGTGCATTGGTATGCGCTTTGGAAACACAAAATATCTTGGGTTTAATTAAAATTGCATTTCGTTTACAAAAGTTTAATAAAAGTTTGCGGTAAGTATACAGCATTTCACACAGAATTTACATGGATTTCACATTTATTAGTTCAGGTTTTATTAATTATAATGTTTTTTGTTTCGTTTTATCTCTAGAAATTGCAAATCATTGAGAAAAACAAAGATTAATTGGGAAACCAAGTTATCACAAGAAATGTTTGATTCCGGCTATCTATTGGCCAGTGGCCTGTCACACATTATGATCAGTCATATGCCGCCTAAACTGCTAAGAATTGTGAATCTGATTGGCATTAAAGGGGTTCATCACATAGGAATGGCAAATGTGACCAGGGCTGCATTTTTGTATACAGACCACATAAACTGTCATTTCGCTAAAATGTTCATGCTAATATTAGCTACTTATATGGACACACATTTAGGTCTTGAGATAAGGAATCGAGAGAATTGTGAACAGATTTTACATAATGAGATGAAATTATATCCAAATGTTAGAAACATAATGATATTTTATCTAGAAATTTTAGTGATTAATTTTATTATCTGTTTAATATAGTTTGTAATGTATTTGTCATTCAAAGCGAAATTAATGCAAATTTCTGGTCGTATTGAGGAGTCGATTGTTTTGTACACTAAAGCCATCAATGAATATAACTTTTCGAAAGCAAACAAATGGTTTCATTTTGAGCTAATGTTTAGTCACGCCTTACGGTGCGAATGGAGTGAATGTATTCAATACGCGGAACTCATTCGCTTAGGGAGTCGTCACTCACCCGCTTATACCACATATTGTGAGGCTATCTTCAGATATGTTAAGAGTGTTGAAGACAACGATAAGTCGGAAATGGAAAGGGCTGTCCAATTGCTACAGTATGTCTACCCATTATGTAATATATATGATAATACTGAACATTGTATCGATTGTGACAGAGATGTGCCGTCAGTTCGCGTCCGATATTTCGGGAAATCAGTGACACTGGAGAAGAGTGCTGTTCAGAGGGCTGAGAAGTGGGCCAATACTCACCAGTGCTCCCTATTGCCCGATATGGTTTGGACTGAGTTTTACGCTATTATTCATATGATAATTAATTAATTATAATTTCAGGATCTGTTATACCAGTGGAATATGTTATCCTTCATTAGAGGCAATGCTATGCTATTGAATAGATTTATGGACAGAATTGTGGTTCAAATCGACAGATATTCTTCTGATTTAAGTAATGAGTATTTTATTTATTAAAATTAATATCTGTATGAATATCTGTAATATCTGTACAGTACAAACATTGTGAAAAAACCTATAGTAAAAATAATATCTCAAAATAAGTTTTAATTTTGCATTTAGTGAGAAACAGTTTATAATATAAATATGAATAGATAATAAAGTGTACATAACAAATTATAAAGCATTTAGTTTGTTATTTATAAAATGTTTTTAATTTTACAACTTATTAGAAACGAGTGATTATTTGGACAACTATTTGACGGCTCTATTCTATAAGGGAATCATTCATAGGCTGTCCTCACAGTATACCGACGCCAGGAAATGCTTTAAAACTGTGTTTGAAGAGTAACTATATTTTGAGCCCCAATTGAATTGATTGCATCTAAGGATCATTTGTAACAATTGAAAGGGAGGCGAGAATTAGCCACGAGTTTGCGATACCACCGCAAGCGGTTCTGGAGTTAGGATTAGTGGAACTGGAGCTCAATAATGGTGACGAGGCTAAGATGTGGCTGAAGAAGTGTACTCAGGATTACAGCAATTATACGAATGAAAACTTTGTTCATTTGAGAGTTTATGCCGCTCTCAGAGAACTCGGGGTTTCCACTGATAAACAGACTGTTAATCAGAATATGTGTTTGTATTCATAATATCGCTTAAAATTATGGGTATTTTATGTGATAATTCTTTGTGTTAATTGTGTAGACAATGAGTACAAAAATCAATGGCTCAAAGATGTGAGGAGTGAGAAATTGGATGTCGATGTGGACAGTGTTATCGTAAAGGAATCGACATTCAATGATTGATATGTTTTTATTATAATTGATACTTGACTTTATTTGTAGCTATCAATAAATGTAATGTTAATTTATTATTTGTTTGAATTGTATTTATACTATGGGTATTTAATATTTAAAGTTTAATAAATGTGAATTTTTAATGTCATGTAATGCATAATTACAGTTCAGTTTGTTAGTAATTGTACCTATCAGGAATGATTTTTAATTGTTTAAAACTAATTGTCAAGACTATTAGCAATGAAAGGAAAAATAGTTTTTAATAATACTGTACATGTTTTTTAAATAAAAATCTATTATTTACTATCAATTAATTAATTGAGCTAATTTGCATATTAATATACTGAATTAACCCAAACAATTTATATTTTTGTTTCAATTTCCTTGTTAAAAACTTATAATTTTTGAATAATATTATTTACCTATTGTTTATCTAAAATAATTTAGAATTTTAAAATTGTACTATAAATAATGAACACCAACATTTATCCAGTTTACTGTCAAACCAATATATCTGTTACCTTGATCCTTCAAAATTGCAAATGTTATTTATATAAACTTTTATAAAAAAATAAAATAAAATAAAGTATAAATTAAACTATTTTATTAACAACCACAGATTCAGTTTATTATTCTGTTAATAGTACTAAAACATTAATTATCTTTCTAAATTATATCTATTTTATAATTTAATAACTAATTTTAATAGCCCTTGATATATCATAACGAGCGCAGAAATTGATACTAATATTATATCTAGCACCGATTTAAATTCAAGCAACTTAATTAATAATAAAACTATCATGGATTATAATGGGTGAGTATCAAAATAATTTAATAATTTTTAAATAACTATTATTGATATATAAAAATTATTTGTAATGTTTAGCAAGTCGTTTAGCGAGGCAATACAAATTGCTAATCAATTGTCGGAAATGTTGCTGCAAACAAATTCATTGCCCCGGGATGTGGACCCGGATAATAGGAACCTATATTTGTGTTGTGTTAAGTCTATTAAAGCTATATTCGTAGCTGTAGCCACTATGGAAAAGGTATGGGTGCTATTTACTCACCAATTTAAATTCCCTGCAATAAATAAAAATATTTAAAATGATTTCACTTTATTTTTGACTTTTAAAAAATGACATTTCATCTCTAATATGAAATATGAAATTCAATACAATACAGCACGACATCGAAAAGGCACACAAACAGGTGGATACGTTAGGGGCACTGGCAGATAATTATCGTAAAACGGGACTTATGGTGACGATTATAAGTTATGTGAAAACGCCTCTATATAACCGTTATAGCGATGGTATAAATAGTTTATAATTATTTATAACAAATGAAAGATATAGCTTTAAATTTTATAATTAAATATAATAACAATTTTAAACACATAGCCGAAGCGCACGGGGAGTTGTGTTACTCGTATAGTCTACTGTTCAGTGCTATGGTCTGTGCGTTGGAAACCAATAGTATTTTGGGTTTAATTA